AGCTTAGAGGTTTTATCGTTTTTTTACTTATAAGAACTGTGACTCTGCAGCGCTACCAGTGGCCAAAAGGGCTCACTACCTGTGTCCAGCTAAGTGGACTCCATTGAGAAGGGGAGGATAAGGCAGGACCAACTCCAGTTGTGCAAACAGGGAGAAGTGATCTGAGGGGATGTGAGGGTGTGGGCAACCACTGATATTGTTCTCCAGGAGCCAGTTTGTGTCCAAAGACCCGAGGACGCCCAGCACGTTCAGTTGTGGTCTGGAGTAGAAGATGTAGTCAATGACACCCTAAAATGGGTTTAAAAAAGGGAGTTGTGAGCATGCATCGTTGAATCACAATAAACAATTCATTCTTTCTGCCGTTCTTCTGTCATGTTACTGTACATGGCAGAGCAAGCAACAGCACAATGTGACATGTTTGCAATGTCAAGTACTTTTTCGGTCATAACTAAAAGTGCAATACTGGACCAAGAGATTGAGACACAAAAATACGTACTATTGATCATTTAGAAATAATAACTAGATTTTATTGTAAAATTGTATTGGTACCAAAGTATTTGACATGGCTAGTCGTAAACTCTAAACAATGGCTGTCACTTTGAGCTCAATGTACTTACCTTGAAGTCAAAAGTGTAATTGGTGTAAGGCATAAGCACGTTCTCATAGACACTCTTCAGCTTGAAACCATGCGTGATCCTCCCGTTAGATGTGCCGTCTTTGCCGTTGCAGTTGAAGTTGGTCAGACTGTCACTGTAGCGCAGCTCCTTGAAGTCTTTGTGTGTGTAGTCCACCCCACCTGTGCTCAGGTACTCCACAACACCTACGATCAGATTTGAAACTCATTAAACATGTCTGACCAACATGCCTGTATGTACTGCAATTGAGACAATACTACTAAAAACATAGTACAAAGACAACATGATATTAAAAAATCAACCTGATTTACTTTAATAAATGTAATTGGCCTTATTTTGTTTCATCAGTGCTTGATCAAAAAATAAAAGTTTTCATTCTTCCAAAAATCCTCTCTCAAAACTAATTTTTTTCCATTTAAATTTTATAGGATTCCATTTTAATTATTAAATTAAAGGTTTAGTAAATCAAAAAATGTGTCTAATTAATTTAAAACATGAAGCTTACACAATTTAACCAAAATGTATTAAAATAAAAAATCAGTTGTTTTTTTTGTTTGTTTTTTTGGTCTGCACACCTAATCAATTGAATTCATAAAACTTCAACAATTTACTAACTTAAATTTGATTAACTGTACAGCCCTACTTTTATTTAATTAATCCAAATTTTGCCAAATTCTGTGACAATCAGAATTATACTGTAAATTCCATTTTTATGACTGGATTCCATTGCTGAGGTAACCAAGAGCATGTCACAATGAGCAAGAAAGTAGTTATTCCTGTTAAACTCACAACAGTCAATCATCTGTTTCAAGACTCAAAAAACACCTCTATCAACACAAAATAGAAAACAAGACACTTTGCATGTCTTTGGCTTTAAGAAGGTTTACCCGAGTCAGGAAGTGAGTTGAGGTCGGCACAAAGCACCAAAGGGATGCTGCTGGTTTCTCCAGATACGGAGGAGAGCTTCAGACTACGGGAGGCTTTGTCTATGATATTCTTCACCTCTGACAGGAACATCATGGTCTGCACCAGCTTCACGTCAGAATATTCTGGGTCCCAATGCATGTGAGCATTTGCCACTAGAAAGAGCTGTTTCTCCATAGCATGGATAGACTTACCTGCTGTAGAAAAATAGAAAAAAAATGTTTTATAAAGTCATTGTTTTCAATTAAAATCTGACTGGATGAGCATAATGTAGCCTTCACTTAGGGTAGCGAAATATATTATAAATTACATATATTACAATAAATTACACAGCTGTTTGGAAATGGTGTGGAAAATAGGAAATTACATTTGCATGTTTTGTAATTTTTGCAGCATTATATTTGTGATACACACATTACTGAAATGCAGAATGTTTTTTTTATATTTTGCAATTCAAATTATCAGTGGAGATTTCATTAGATTTACATTGCAATACAGTAAACTTCACTGAATAAATACAGTACTATGTTTTAGTAAGTACATTTTATTTATAGAGCTCATTTAAATTCAGCTTACACTGACCACAGTGCTATATGCATCTATAAGTTAATAATCAGGAAAAGCTATAGAGTAAAGATGTGTCTTCAGTCTAGATTTAAAGACAGAAATAGAAGGAGCAGTCTTAATATTAGGTGGCAACTGATTCCATAACCGTGGAGCAGCGACTGCAAAGGCTCTGTCACCTTTAAATTTAAGCTGTGACCGTGGGACATATAAAAGAGCTTTATTGACAGATCTGAGGGACTTAGATAAATAATAATAATAATAATTAGAAAAATAATAATAATAATAATAATAATAATACGATCAGAGGTGTAAGATGGGGCTTGTCCATTAAGAGCTTTAAAAACAATCAACAACATTTTGAACTGAATTCCAAA